CGGAGAGATGCAGAGAAGGAGAGACAGAGAGACAGAGAGATGTAGAGAGACAGAGAGATGCAGAGAGACAGAAAGACAGAGAGATGCAGAGAGACAGAGAGATGCAGAGAGACGCAGAGAGATGGAGAGATGCAGAGAGATAGATGGAGAGACGCAGAGAGGAGATGGCAGCCGGGACCCCAACGAGGCCCCAAGTGCTGGGGGGCCTGTGTGGGGTCCACGGGGCTCAGGCGGGGCACCCGAGGGTCCTCACCTGGGGGCCTTGAGGTCAGCATCAGGGCAGTCGCCACGGCCAGCAGCAGGCGGTCCGGGCCCCCTGCCCTGGGCCCCATGGTGTCGCGGGCTGGCGGCTCCCTCGAGGGCTCTGCCGGCCATGGCCCCACCCCCACCCAACGGCCCCGAAAGGGGGAACCGGCCGCAGCCTGTGGCCGGAGGCCCCGCCTCGTCCTGAGCCACTGCTTCTCGGAAGCGGGGACCCGCCTGCCCGGGGTCCGTGGTCAGGACCCCGATTGCACAAGAGGCCAGGAAACGGGGGCTCCCGGGGCCGCCTGCCTGGGCTCTGCCAGGCCGTGTGACCCCAGAGGTCACCGACCCTCTCTGTGCCTCGGTTTACCCAGCATCTGCCCAGGACCATGTGCAGGGAGCTTCCCTCAGGAGCCGGGACACGGCCGATGTGCGGGGTGCCCGCGGCTGCCTCTCTGGGGTCGTGGTGCCGGCTCTCACCCAGCGGGGTCCAGCCCCGGCCCTGCCTGCCGCTGACTCGAGCCTCAGTTTCCCCACCTGCAACCCCAGCACCGGCCTCAGGGCTGTGAGGATGATGAGAAGGGCCGGGCTTCCGGAAAGCCCTGTGATTATTGCTGCATTTATTGAGCGCCTACTGTATACCAGCCCCTGGCAGGATCTGGAGATAGAGCGTGACGGTGACAAAGGTGATGACGTTCTCGGGGTCGGGGGGCACGGATCTGGCAACCTGGGTTCAGGGCCGTGAACCAGGAGCCAAGAGGCGGGGGCGCCCCCGGGGGGCACCGGGGAGCCACAGGGACAGAGTCGAGGCCCGGTGACGCCTTCGAGAGCCTTTATTGAGGTCGGACCCCCGCCCACCCCGTCAGTAGTGCTGCAGCACGTCCCTGATCCAGGACACGAAGGCGGACACGCGGGTGTAGACGTCCGGGAAGTGGGGGCTCCCACACACGGCAGAGGAGAAGGACACCACGCCGTGCAGACGGCCCCGGCAGAGCAGGGGGCCGCCCGAGTTGCCCTGTGGACGGGCGCGGCTGGGCGTCACGGGCGGGCGGGGGAACCGAGGCCTGGTGGCCGGCGCCCCCGTGTCGTGTCACCCCAGGGGGACGGGGCCTCGGGGTGCCCGCTCACCGCGCACACGCCACAGTGCTCCCTGGTCCCCGTGGAGGCGCAGAGCATGTCCCGCGTGAGGGCCCCTCTCCAGGACTCGTTGCAGGTGTCCCGGGGCTGGACCACCACGGGGGCCTCCAGCAGCGCGGCCGAGGGGTCGGCGCGGCCCATGGTCTCGCCCCAGCCCAGCACGCGGCATCGCAACCCGGGGGGCAGATCACTGTTCCGGCCAGGCAGGGGCGTGAGGCGGACGGAGCCAGTGCGTCTGGCTGCAGTGTGGAGCTGGAGGCGGGGAGAGACCCGGGGGGCAGAGACACGGAGGAGACGCAGAGACAGGGAGAGACAGAGAGACAGAGACGGGGGGACAGGGAGAAACAGAATAACGATGAGGATGACGGTGATGATACCTCCCCGGGCTCCGGGCTCCGTCCCGGCCCCTGCGAGAGTGTGGACTCTTCCCCCGCCCCCCGGGGGGCTGCCCCTCCCGGCCCCACCTGCCCGGCCACCTTGAGGAGCTGGATGTCATAGGTGTCCCTCTGGGTGTCGTAGAATGGGTAGGGCACGGCCAGTGTGATGTTGAAGACCTGCCAGGTGGGCTCTGGCACCCGCAGGTTGTGGGCCCCCAGGACCACCCGGAAGTCGCTGAGGTTCCTGCCTCAGAGGGACGGGGATGGGGCACTGAGGGTGGAGCGCGCCGGACCTGCAGCCCGCCTGCCCCCCGACGCAGCCCTGGCCGCTCACCAGGTCACCTCGCAGTGGGCGGCAGTCAGCACCCAGCGTGGCCGCACCAGCACAGCCCCGCAGAAGTGCTTCCCGTCCAGCTGCCGGGATGCCATGAAGGGCCGCGAGTGGGGCACCACCTCATGCCCCCCAACAATGCTGCCTCGCAGGGTCCCTGTGGGCAAAGCCGGGTGAGGGGCCTGCGGTCGTGCCGCCAGACGTTGCCCGTCCCCACGTGCCTGGCATTTCTAGTGACCCTGAGTCTCCTGCAAGGAACTGTCACAAACATGTGGCTTCAGACCACACACACTCGTCTTCTCACGTTCTGGGGTCAGAAGTCCTGAATCCAGGTGTGTGCAGGGCTTTCCTCCCAGAGGCTCCAGGGAGAACCGTCTCCTGCCTTTTCCAGCTTCTAGAGGCCGTGTCCTGGGCTCGGGGCCCCTTCCTCCGTCTGCACAGCCCGCAGCGCAGCGTCTCCCGTCTCTCTCTGCCTCTGACCCTCCTCCTCCCTCTGATGAGGACCCTGTGATGACACTGGGCCCCGGGGAATCCAGGGTCATCCCCCATCTCAGGGGCCTCGACTTAATCCACCTGCAAAGTCCCCTCTGCCATGTGAGGTGACACGTTCACAGATCCCTGGACCAGGACGGGGACATCTCTGGGGCCGTATTTAGCCAGCCACAGTTCCCTGTGTTAATTAGGTCACTGTGTTGTCATCGTCCCCATTTTACAGATGAGGAAACTGAGGCCCAGAGCCTCAAAGTGGCAGGGTCAGGTGGAACCAGCTGGTGTGGAGGGAACTGGCCCAGCCCACGCGCCGACACCTGGACTTCAGCCCAGGGAGGCCTGCGGATCAGATGACCAGTGAGCGTCATTCTAAGTCACTAAGTGTGTGACGATGTAGCAGCCGTGGGAAACCAACGTGGCCCCGAGGAAAACGCAAACCGTGAGGTCAGCGTGAAAATCCAATCTGGGGTCTCGGCCTGGGCTGGACCCCACAGGGCCACTTGGAGCCCGGTCGCAGCTGGTAGTGGACATTCCCCTGGGAGACTCTGCAGGCTCCTGTCTGCTCTGGACCCCCAGGGCTGTCCTGTCACAGCTGTGTCCCCAGCTACACGCCCCTGGGGGTTGGTACGAGGATTACCCAAAGCCGCAGAGATACCTAAAGATGGCAATATTGTTTCTATCCCCGTTACTGATGGGGAAACTGAGGCACAGAGAGGTTAAGTGCCTTGGCCAGGGTTGCACAGCGAGGAAGTGGTGGAGCCAGGGCTGTGGCCCTGGGACGTTCCCATTGCCTCTGCTGGGGGCGGATTCTACCCACAGCCAGGCGTGCTTCCTTCCCGTCTGGGGAGCAGTTGTGAAACCAATAACCGTCATCATGGTCCCAAATAACCCAGCTCCCCACGGTGGAGCTTTGAAGGGAGGAGGGGCCGAGTGGGGGTTGGGATTCTGCTTCCCCAACTGAGGCCCAGAGAGGGCAGCCAGGCTTGTCTGGGGCTGCACAGTGGAGAGTCCTGAACCCAGGACTCCCAGACTGCATCCTTGAAGGGTCTCTCCATGGGGGCTTTGGGTGGCTTCATTGTCCCCAGGGGCCAGTCAGAGAACACTGGACAACAAGAACAGTGACCACAATGATGAGAATAATAGTAACTCTCTTTACTAAACAGTACTCTTGTTATTGATTTACTGGAGCTCTTTACATATTGAGGACGTGACCTCATGGTCATATGAATTTCTTTTCCTGAGCAACTGTCAGGTGCAGAGGACACAGCCCCCCTGGGAGTGTGTTTGGATTCTGAGGGTCTGTCATGGGACCCAATGCTGGTCCAGCCAGAGCTGGACGGCTCCATCAGACCCCGAATGGTCCCCGTCCCCCTTACCTGCAAAAGCGGGGGCTCCCAGGGCCATGGCGCAGGCCAAGAGGATGGCCGGGGTGGTGGCTCCGGGCATGGTGCTCCATCAGGGCCCAACAGAGCTGGGCCCGTGGCTGTGGGTTATGAGGCTGGGGGGTCCCTTCCCTCCGGGATACGCTCCCTGTGCATCCGGGCGTCCTTCTCGGCCCCCCTGGGGGCTTGTGAAACACGAGGTAACGGCACCAACGGTTCCCGAGGGGCCGGCCATGGTGGGGGAGCCGGGGCCACGTGGGTGTCGGGAAGGGGAGCCCTCGCAGCCCCTCTGAGAAATGGGTCAGCTCCGGCTCGCCCTGCGGTGTTGACGTAAATAACAATAACAGTAACGATTCTCGTCGTCATTGATTCTCGCCTCCCCGACCCTCCCCCACAGCACGGGGGCTGCTGTCGTCCCCCGGACAGGTGAAGGAACAGGCACAGCGAAGCCGGTGACCTTCCTGGGGTCACACAGCTCGTGCCACTGCTGAGGCTCTTCCTCACTCACGATGCTTGTTGAGCGACTCTGTGAGTCAGGCCCCGGGGTCCCGGATAAACAGTTGTTGCTGCAGAAACTGCAGCTCGGAGGGTGTCTATCCAGGTCCCATTGGATCCAGCCCTGAGTGCATTGGATCCATGCCCTGGCCCCCAGTGGGCGTGCAGTTGGTGCTCATCTCTCAGCCTGGTGCGCGGTATACAGTCGGCGCTCAGTAGGTGCATAGCCCCTCCTGCAGCAGCAGAGGTTCAAGCAGTGAGGGGAGGTGGGGAACACAAGGTCCTGAACATTTTTTTAAAGATTTTATTTATTTATTTTCCCCCCAAAGCCCCAGTAGATAGTTGTATGTCATAGCTGCACATCCCTCCAGTTGCTGTATGTGGGACGCGGCCTCAGCATGGCCGGAGAAGCGGTGCGTCGGTGCGCGCCCGGGATCCGAACCCGGGCCGCCAGCAGCGGAGCGCGTGCACTGAACCGCTAAGAGGTCCTGAACATTTGACAAAAGCTCGAAACATTCCCAGGAACCCCCAGAGCCAGCGTGGGAGGCCCAGGGACCTTGCACAAGCCCCACACTTTGTGCCTCAGTTTCCCCACCTGTGGACAGGGTGGGCAGCGACAGCTGAGGCTTGGGAAGAGCTAGGGACAGGCGCCGGGCAGGGCAGGTGTCCGCGGGGATGCTTGTCTTTAAACCCCACATTGTGTCCTCTTCACCCCGTTAACGCACAGTCCGGGAAACCGCTTCTTTTGTTGTTGTTTTTTTTTTTTGTGAGCAAGATCAGCCCTGAGCTAACATCCGTGCTAATCCTCCTCTTTTTGCTGAGGAAGACCGGCTCTGAGCTAACATCTATTGCCAATCCTCCTCCTTTTCTCCCCACAGCCCCAGTAGACAGTTGTATGTCATAGCTGCACATCCTTCTAGCTGCTGTATGTGGGACGCGGCCTCAGCATGGCGGGAGAAGCGGTGCGTCGGTGCGCGCCCGGGATCTGAACCCGGGCCACCAGCAGCAGAGCGCGCGCACTCAACCGCTAAGCCAGGGGGCCCGCCCCGGGAAACCGCTTCTTTTGCCCCAAACAGACGGTGCTGCCTCAGAGCAAACACGGCCGGTCCAGCGCCGTCCGCACCCCAGCCAGACCACTGGACGCCGCCCAGGTCAGTGCAGGGCCGTGATGGCACGACCGCCCCTCGCAGACTCTCTCCTGCACCGGCGTCAGAGGGACGGGGAGAACCTAGGAGGGACGGGTCTCTGAGCAGGCCCATTGCAGCGAGAGGTACACCGAGGTCGGCAGGCCAGCGCCTCGCGGCCCCTCCCACCTCCTCCTCCCTCGCGGCCTCCGGGATTTCCGCCCGGGGACAGTCGCGGGGGAAGCGGCCTGGCCACTGTTGGGGTACCCGGAGCTGCCCCACGGCTCTGAGCCTCGGTCTCCCCGCTCTGGGGACGAGCGACCCCGGGGCACCTCTGAGGGTGCTGGGTGCCCCGGGTGCCCCTGGCAGAGCCTGTTTGCTCCTCTGCACATGGGACGCTGGCGCCGTCCTTCCCGCAGGGAAAGTCAGAGAAGCAGCAGGAGATGTGAAGTCACTCATCCCATGAGCGTTTATTGAGCACCTGCTGTATGCAGGTGCCGTCCTGGGGCCGCAGCAGCGGGAGAGGTGGGCAGGGGACCACACGATAAGCAGACATCGTCCACCCCAGGAACCAAGTGGGCAAAGAGCAACCGGTCTTGAAAGAAGGAGAGGGAAGGGGGTGGATTTTAAAACGGGGCGACGAGGAGACCCAACAACGTGGAAGTGGGGTGGGTGTCCCCGGAGGAGGGCACAGCGGGTGCCAAGCTGGACGTCTGGACGGCTGCGCTGTGGGTGGGGACATGGAGGCAGGGCCGGGCCGGGCCCGGCCGGGCTCAGCTGGACCCGAGGGCCAGGCCCGGGGCGCTGGGGAGCCATAGCAGGCGAGTGAGCAGGGCAGGCCGGCGGATCCCTCTGGAGAAAGAGGGGTGGGGAGACCCGGGAGACTGAGGGCCAGGAGGCAGGGGACACAGGCCAGAGCTGGAGTCGGGGCTGGCGGAGGCAAGGGGGGCTCTGACTCAGGGACAGGGGAGGAGTGGGTTTGGGCGTCCACGCAGAGCCCAGGGTGAGACCCCTCTGGAGTCCGAGGGCCCCACAGGATGTGGGGGGCGGCCG